ATTTATGCAGCTGTGGCACCTGATGGCAACATTTCTGTTTTGTCTTGTAAAAGGAAACTTTTTAGTCTGAAGAGGTAAAGATTAGGCTCTGTGGACATTACACTTTATGTCATCAGAAATTATTTAATTATTTAATTCTGAGGCAGGAACTCACTGTTCAGGCCCACGGTGCTGGTGATCTTTGACAGATTCATCCCCTTGTAGTTCTTGCTGAACTTGGTTTTGGTCTGTTCCAAAAAGGTCTGCAGAGGGGGGGAAAAAAAGCAGAATTCATTTGCGTTTAAAATAGAAAAAGACACAGTAACTGATTAAATGAACAGCCCATCTAACACTTTTGTACGATGACAATAAAGGAGGTCTAAAACTGGTCACTTGGTTGTTTTCCTTCGCCCTGAGCACCGACATGGAGGCTCCTGTAAAGAGCCCTAAGGAACCCCAAGAGCCCTATGTGAAGCTAAAAATGAGCTAAAAACTTAGTCTGGTCTGAAGACAGTCTATTAAATAAATAGGCTGGCAGCAAAAAGACAAGAGGCCACGTTCTCCTGAACAAACATACCGTCTTCCCGGCGTTATCCAGCCCCAGAATCAGCACGCAGTATTCATCCTTTTGGAACATGTACTTATATAATCCGGACAACAGGGTGTACATCCTGGAAAACTACTAACGGGAGCAGGCCGAATAATCCTACATAAGATAGAGATTGTAGACTACAAAAAACTGCAGTTTAATTCCAAACAAGTGAACCAAAAGCCAAAAAGAGGCAGACTGCTTCACACAGGTAGCCGCTAGCTAAAGCAAGCTAGCTCCGCTACGTGGACCCAAAACAGGAAGACGTTCTTCTTCGTGACTTTATTGGCGGTAGGCAAACACCGCCTGGTTCTCAATACCGCCACCTATCGGCTAAAAATGTCGGTTTTATCCTGTAAATACATAACCGAAGATCAAAGTCTGTTACTCAACTTTGTCCATATAAAAAAAATGGAATGTTCTTATTTTCCGAATATTTCAGTAGTATTTTATTTTATTCATTTATTAAATGTTTCTTTCCCCTCTAAATTCCTCCAACATTAACCTTCTTTCTTTTTCTTATCTACAACAAACTAAAATCACATGTTCTATTGTTTCAAATTCTCTACAATAATGAAATTTCCTCGCATCATGTTTACATATTATAAATAATCTATAATTGAGTCCAGTGTGACC